ATTGCACCCTTAATGAGTGAATTATAAGGTCATAACAAATGAGTGACAAATACAATTCCATTTCACTTGAAGAAATTAGAAATGCCTACTTACTGCATTAACATTCTTAAGCCTGCACACTCTGCCATTAAGTCAAGCAAACCAACTCCCAATTTTTGGCTCCTTCTCTAGTTCCCCCCACAATATTATGCTGTGATACTCTTCCTAATCCCACTTTCCTTTTGAAGGAGAAGGGGGTCTCCCTCAGGCTTCTGGTAGCCCCTCTACCTCCAGCTTACTTCTTCCTTTGGTGCAGGAGTTGGTAGCCATCAAGACTAAAAAGCTGACATTTGGGAGTTGGTTTTACTCCATTTGCTAACAGCTTCTGGCACCTGAAGAGTCTCAGAGCAGTATCTTTTGCTATGTCCAGATGTATTTAGGTAGATAGAGGGGGAGGCTCACAGCTTCTCTGCTATGGTGGGTGGTAGTTGTGACCGAGTAGCAAAAGCCTGGGACCCAAAGTTCTCAGAAAACCTGACTTCAATTTTTGATTCTGCCCCTTACTGACCGTGTGGCCTTGAGCAAGTCTCTCAACCTCTCTAAGCTTCATTTTCCTCATCTGTAAAATGGGGATTATACTGTCTATCCCACAGGGATATCCAAAATGCTCACAAAGCCATCTGGAACATAGAGATACTCAATAATTCAATTCAACAAAACACGAGCCATGCTCTGGACTAGGTGCTGGGGATACAGATAAATACAGTACCAGCTGCCTTCAAATTGTTCAGTATAGAAACACTGTTAACAGGCATTCATTTTCTTCCTTCCTCACATTAGCCTTCTTTTAGGACGGCAACAGACAGTTCAAGACTTTATTCTTTGCCTTTATAAACTTTCACCTCTGTGCTCCCAAGAGAGATCTCACTGATAGGGTAGCAGCTATGTTTACATCCTTGACGGTTAATTAGTTATGGGGAAATATCCCTTTTATACTTTCAAGTTATTATGAACACTGATTCTTAACTCTTCCAGGCCTTACCTGAAGATGTTTCCACAGTGAAAGTGTGCTTATTCAGCACTTTAAAATAAGTATAGAAAACTCTCATTCTCTCTTACTCCCTGTTAACCCCAGCCTTTCTGGATTTATATTCCAGTTGAAAAGATTGGTCACAAAGAATCAGTTCCCAGTTTAGCTAACTTAGTGACCAATTTCTGGCTCACCTCCTGATTTAGGGTTCAGGTTCTACTCTATAAACAAAGGGCTTTCCAGAAAAACACTAGTTCAGTTTATAAACAGAGGCTATCACAAAGTAACTAGAGGGGAAAATGCAGGAGATAGTTTCTAAATCAAAATGTATTAACATGAATCCCATCCTTCCCTTGGTGGAGCAATTCCACAAGTCACAGAAAAATATTTTTCATTTTAGAATAGATTGGAAAAGAGCCTTTGCCAAGAGCCAGTTGTTTAAATTTTCAATTTGAATTTAAAGCAGGATTATACATGCCCCAAAACATCATGCTAGTGGTATTTTTAGCTAATAGGTAGGATTGCTGTGTCCACGACAGTTTAGAGCAATCAGGAGTGAAACTATTAAACAGTATCTCTCACTGTGGCACTTTTATCACAGTACTTCTATTTTAATATTTTCCAAAGCTCCGTCATAAAAATACATGTAAAGCACCCATGTTAGGCACAGTACAAAGTTCAAATAGATAGCCACAGTTTCTATCTTCATTATGGGTTTACATTAAGCAAACCAGATATATGAAAAAATCTCAAAGTTAAGAGCATTTCTACTGAGCTGCCATCCAGCCTCTAAATGTCCAGGCAATTCCAATAATTGCACCCTCTCTATGTGTTAAAAGGAGAGGAGTAATGAAAATGTTCTAAAATTCACTGACCATGGATGCACAATTCTGTGAATGCACTAAAAGCCACTGAGTTGCACACCTAAATGGGTGAATTTTATGGTATGTGAATTATATCTCAGTTAAGCCATTTAAAAAGGAAGAATTGTTCTTATTCTGTTCTAATTAGTCAAAGCTATTTTTTCAAAGCTCTCATACTAAAGGGTATCTAGCTAAAGGCTACACTGATTTGGCAATGCTGCCTCAGTAGCCACAATGGAGATTAATCTTCCCTTGCGCATACATCTCTCATTCCCTCATTCTCTTTCCCTCATCTCTCTTTCCCTAGTTCTTTTCCAGGTGTTCCTCTGCTCTAGCTAGGTCTTAGGTCTCTCAGGTATTCCCAAGCACAATTGGTCCCAACTGCTGACCCTCAGCAACTTCCCTTTCATGACCTTAGGCAAGTCAAGTCCCTCTGCTACTGTCGCTGTTCCGGTTTGCACAATGAGGGTTTGGACTATATAATCCTTTCCAGCTTCCATATTCCATGTAAAAAAAAACGAACACTTACTTGGCCAATAACATGTGATCTCTGCCATTTTAGCCAACAGACATATGTTGGGATTATTCATTTTGTAAATGCCCATATGATACAATCTTTTAATGAACAGTGTTTAATATATTTATAAAATGATCAACATGGAGTCCATATTTTTAAAAACTACCACTTTATCAAAGAAAATTCAGAGCCCAACACAGAATGCTTGATAGTCCCTATAGACTTGTCTCCAAGGGTTCATTTTTGAATGAGGAAAAAAAAGGAGCTTTTGCATGTTGGGATCCTGTTGGATTTACCAAACCAAAGAAAGAAAATTGGGGTGACAGAGCTTTAACAGCAGTGGCTCAACTGAATCCTAAGAGAAGAAAGGCTTTGTGTAGCAAGTGGTAGAGAGACCTAACATAAGACAGCACCTCAACATACATTATACACTCTCAGAAATAGTCTGAGAGCAATAAACACCGCAGGAATCCTTTTACCCTGGACAACTTGCAGCTTTGTATGGAAACCAGTTACATTCCCCCAACAAAACTCACAAAAATATGTAGTCACCAGTTTCCAACACCCTACCACCAGACAAATTCACAGTATTGTTTCCATGTGCCAAACATCAGAGAGCAAAACTGAAAGAAACACATCAATTTCTCCTACACACACACACACACACACGACAAAACCATTTTCTTTGCAGAACCTACATTATCAAAGTTGTGGGCATGAAATAGATACATACCGGTTGCTAATAAAAATCAGATGGTTAGCTCTACACTAAGAAGCCAACAGCAAACACAGAAATCATAAAAACAATAACCCTAAGGTGTGTTTCTTATCTTTAAGCTGAACACCAAACATGGAGAGAAATGACTCAGAGTGTCCATCTGCATCTCTCCCATTACCTCAACCCAGCCAGCTCTCCTGTTAGTTACCTCCCTACACTAGTGCAGAAGGTGCAGGCCCCTCTCTTCTTTCCCTTCAGGCTCTCGGCTGGAGGTACTGAACCAGAGTGGGGGGAGGGCGGAAAGGACAAAGGTAGGCGCTTTAGATCCCTGGGCTTGAGGATAGGGCTCCCAGCCTTTCCCTTTCTCATCACGCAACCAACGCACCTGCCCGGGAGAGGTCCCTTCCTCCACCTTAGTAACTGGTCCATGGGGCCTAGATGTCCGAAGAGCCTGAGAGTTGCAGCCCTCACAGACAAAAGCTGGGCTAACAAAGAGGAGGGGGAGGCAAAAGAAGTCGGTGCAAACAAAAGCGTGGGTTGGGGGCCCTGAAAAGGCCAAGTCTATCTCTGGTGTTCCCAGAGGTAGCCGGATTTGGTGGATTTAAGAGCGCGGGGGAGGGGCGCTTTAGAAAATTCCTCAGAGGTTAGGGATTAGGGAGCTGCTACTGGAGGGCTGAGGCCCTGAGGCACAAAGCAGGCAGAACTGGCTGGGAGAGGTGATGGCAAAGAGATGCCTCAGAAGGGGCCTGGGAACGGGAGAGGGTCGCTCCCTGGGCCCGGGAGGGACCCCCAATAGGGGACCCAAGCTGTGCCCGCAGGGGCTGAGGGAAGAGTACAAAGGGGGGGGGGCAGTGTTGGAAAAGAGAGTCAGAGAACAGAATCGTAGAGAGGCTCAGGCGGACAGGGAGGGGACCTGACCCCCGCCCTCGTCCGCCCCACCTCACCTGGCGCCGGTCCGAGTCCAGGTCTAGTGCTGAGAAAGCGCCAGCTCCGGCTGCCCCTACGTCCCGCGCGGGAGACCACGGACACAAAGCGGGGCGCGCTAGAGGAGGGGAGGAGGGGAGGAGGGGGAGAGGGACGGCAGGGAGGAGGAGGAGACGCCTGAGGCGCGTGAGGGGGTAGGAGGGACGCCCGCCGCCTGGGTCAGGGGGAGGGGCGTGAGGCTGGAGGCCTCGCTTGGCTAGCCAATGGCTACTCTGCCGGCCGGCAGGCGCGCCTGCCGACCAGAGGCTCACCTCCGCACCTGGGCCTCCGTGGGTCCTAGCCAATCAAAGGCCTTAATTTGCATAACTGGCCCCGCCCACTCGCCCCAGCCCAGGGAAGCTCTCTGAGAACACAAAGAAGGCCCTCGTAGGGGGAGAGGGGTCCACTCCTGATTCCCTACCCCGAGGGTTTGGCATCACCTTTTCGGCGCGTTTATGGGTTTTTCATGGTCACCCTGATATGGGAAGAGAAGGCGGGGGAAGCGGGGGGGGTCATAGAGCTTTGGCCCAAGATGTTTTAAGTCGGATCACTTCTCCCTGAAGTACTTCTAACCAAGCTACCCTCCTCCGTTCCAGGGCACACAGTTCCGTGTCTTCCTCTCTGAGCCCTCCGAGCCCCATTCTTTCCCCTCCCCTTTTTCCAGCCTCCCCAATCTCTGTGCTTCCTCCCGTAGGCTGCTGCCCACTACTGGCCTTCTGTTGTACTGCAGCCGTGATCAGCAGGTTCTGAGTATAGCCTTCATAGATGCTCTCTGACTTGCCCAAACCTACCCCTGTCCAGAGAGCAAGAGGTTACTGCACTAAAACAGAAAGGACCTTGTCTAGTGGCTTTGATGCCTATGATGGCAAAAAGCCTATACTTGAAAGTGTAAACTCCTCAAATTATCTTGCCCCTCCTTCCTTCTCCTACCTTCCGGTCTGTACTGGGCCACAATGGTGACTGACTGGCCAGCCCGTTTTAGAGCAGCTGCAGCCTGCTCATGAGTTGCATTCCGCAGGTTGACGCCATTCACCTGTTGAAAGAGAGGAGCTATGAGCCACCCCTAAAGCAAGAACGAGAGTCCTATGTCATAGCAGTTAGGACAGGGAGATGAGTGCCCATCCCTAAGCCGACTCAGATGCCTTTCTCAATATCCCACCCTTGCCCCTAAGAGGAGACATAAAGGATATGGCATCCCTAGTGTAGTAATTATCTTTATGAGGTCAAATGCCAACCAGGGTTAAGATAAAAGGAACATTCATTTCCTCCTCAAGGATAAATCTCATCTCAGTCCCTGTCCCTCACTAAAGACATACAAAAGAAAATATAAGTTTTCTCCAGTTCTTAGCCTTTCATCCATCTCAAGAAGTGTTCCTTAGAGAAAGCAAGGTCTCCTCTCCTCCCTTTTAGACTGGCACGGCTCCTATCCTCCCACCTCGCCTTTGTCTCCTCACCGATAAGATCCGGTCTCCCCTGCGCAGCTCCCCACTCAGGTCAGCTGGGCCTCCTGCCAGGATGAAGGAGACAAAAATGCCTTCTCCATCCTCTCCTCCCACGATGTTGAAGCCCAGGCCTGTGGAGCCCTTGTGCAGGATGATCTTGCGGGGCTCTCTGGTGGGAAAGCAGTGGAAGGGTCAGAACAAGGTAGATATTATCTGGCATCCCTACGAGGGCCTGTCTGGAACAAGTCCCATATCACTGCAGAAGGACTTGAGTCCCTATGTATGATACCCTGTTCCTCCCTTTCTCTCCTAGAACCTGCTTGGCTGCTGTTTTCTGCCAGGTGCCAAGTTTCAGTTCCTCTTCCCTCCCTTATTCCTGAGGGCTTGGAGTCAGCTCCCCAGTGGATAGTCCCCTACTCTCTCAGGTCAGCAAAGCCCTAGCCTGGACTCTAAACACTATAGTTCAGAGCCCATTTACTGGTCCTCTTCCTCCCCAGATTCTCCTATCCTACCAACTGGTGTGATGGAGCTGGGGCCACAGAAGGGGAGCCAGTTAGGAACAGTGGAATCACTCTGGAGTTGATTGATTGCACTCTCCATCCATAAAATGTGCATACTTACTTTCCACATGCTCCTCTGCTCTTTAAAAATTCCACCCTCAACTCTGACCCCTCCTACCTTCCCCAATAACAGATGTAATCACCAATTACTATGCACTCTGGCTAAGTGATGTGGAAGACAGAGATAAAGAGTTTCCAGGTCCCCCAAGGGGGCACAAGAGCCTAACTGACGCAAGGGAACAAATACATAGAAAACCTGGACTACAACTAACCATGTATAAGAAATCCCTCAGTACAAGGTCACAGTGTCATCAGATGAGGGCAACAGCCACTCAGGTATATCCATATACAGACTCCCAGCACACTTTCAGGCCCACCACATTCACTTTTAAGCATCTTTCATCAAAAGAGCCCCAAGTCCAAGATTCCTCCTTTCTTGCTCCAGGTTTAGGCCCTAGGCTTCCTCAGTGAGTCCCGGATATTCTTGCTCGAAGCCCTCCTCTCCTCCTACCTGGCATCCCCTCCAGGTCGTAGGGAGCGGAGCGGCCAAGCCCACCTCTGCGAAGCCCTCCTCCAGGCCGAGGCTGAGGCCGAGCCCAAGCCCTGGGCCAAGCCTGAGCCGGAGAACTTGAGCGCCCTCTCCATGGCTCCTGCGGTTCTCCCCCTTCCGCCTATCCTTCAGGGGCCCCACTGCAGCCAGCCTAGCAGCCTAGCAGGCCCCACCCCACGGCAAACCTGTCCCCCGGAACCCTGGCCGGCTTGACCAGTTCCACAGAGGCTGCCGCCAGAGTGGGGCGGGGCCGGTCCCTATGAAGCCACCTGGCCCGCCAGCCTCCCTGCGTCCCACCCAACCCCACTGTCCCACCCAACCCCACTGGCCGCGCGGCTTTCTTCTGTAATTCTGCATGATTGCAGCAGAGGGGGCGGCAACTGTCTCGGGGCAGGAACCTCGCAGCCTCCACCTCCTCGGTCCCCAAAACACTCCACCCCACCCTTTCTCTGCACTTTGGATCAGGGCCACACACTTGGCACTCCCCCTGATGGTAGAACTTGTCCCTGCAGTCTCTTCTGTTCCTTCTTAGGGCCCCAAGGGTTGAGAGAGGGCCTCAGACCCCAAAGATGGGAGCGATGAGGGCCTTGTCCTCTTCTTTGCCATACTACACTAGGCCTGTGGCCAGCCAGAAGCGGATTCCTCTCCTCCCCACCCCTATATAGGGGGTGGGATAGTCTCACCTGGTGAAGTCCTCCTCAGCCAGCATGTGCCTGGGAATTGGAGAGTAGCGGGCGGGGGGAACCTGAGGAGGAGCAGGGTAGCTGACCTTGCTCTCTACAGCCCCCAGATAACCCAGGCTGGAATTATGGCTTATGTGGTTGTCAGCCAAGGCAGTAAAAGCTGGAATCAAGAAAGGGCGAGAAAATTTCAGAGACCATTCCACATAGGTACCTTCCTCTCCTCCCCAAGGACTGTCTCTCACACCCCACCTCAGATGCACCTCAGCACCAAGGGCTGCTGATTCCTCAGGCCTCTCTGCCCCACTCCACCCCAAGGATTCCTCCTCCACAGTCCCTTTCTGAATCCTGGGCTCAATCCTGTAAGTCTTAGAAAGAGCTGAAGTCAAGGCAGTCTACAAAGAAAGGCATGACTGGAGGTGTAACTAATAATAATCCCTCACATTTCTATAGCCTAATACAGTTTTCCAAGGGCTTTCTCGTCCATGATCTCATTTGAACCTTGCAGCAGGCCTATGAAGAAGGCAGCACATATATCATTAGCTTAGCTCCTTTTTGCCAAAGCGGAAACTAAAGACAGGGGAAAGGGACTTGCCCAAGGGACCAGCTATAAGGTATGGACTCAGTTCTCCTGAGCACTAGTCCTCTGTTCTCTCTCCATCTTAACAAGAGGTATGCACTTCTTCCCCTCCAGAAACCAGGGGCAGGGGCTTCAGCCCAGGGACAGGGCAGATGGGTACGTACTGCTGGCATAGTCAGGAGGTGCGTACATGTCGTTGAGGTGAAGGCTGCCTGGCTTGGCCACCTTCAGATAGACCATATCAGAGGTGTTCTTCAGTGAGGCCACAGCTTCCTCATGCCTCACATCCTGCAGATTGGTGTTGTTCACCTAGAAGAGGAGAGGCCTTCGGGCTAGCACTTGAGAGAAGGAAGGGCATCTCAGGGACTCCTGAGAGGGGCCCTTTCAGTGAAATTCAACAGTGCTCTCACAGAGACCCAAGGACAGTGCTGTGAAGAGCAGAGAAGCCTGGGATAGGGGTAGGGAAGATAAGGGACTCCCAGCCATGAAAAGAAGTAGGGCCTTGGTATCCGATACACCCAACTCCGATAATGCTCTTGAAATTCCCCACAATGCCTAATACCTGAATGAGGTTCAGGTGGAGTGAGAGGCTGCTAGAGCTCCACCTTCCCACCCTACCATTTGGGCATTTCTGTGAAGACTGTCTCACCGCCAGCAGCCGGTCCCCGATCTGTAGGCGGCCATCCTTCTGAGCAGCACCCCCCTCAATGATCTTGGTGATGTAGATGCTGTTGTCCCCTGGGATGTGCTGGTTGCCAATGCCCCCAGCAATGCTGAAACCCAGGCCTGGGCAGGAACCAGCAGGGAGTGGGAGAAGGACACAGAAGTTAGAGTGCTCAGTCAATTCAATCCAAAACCCAACGCCTGCCCCCAGCCAACACACTCCCCTGGGGATCCCAAACACTAGGCTGCCATCCCGAGGTCAGTAGGGTGAAACATGAGGTCAAGAAAGAAGGCTGTGAGCTGGTATGGGGAGTGAGGCAAGGAGTAAGGCTATTCCCTTCCATTTCCTACATAGCCAACCAGGGACCTCTGGCCAGAGCATAGGAACCCAGAGGGCCACACCTTTGGGCCCTTTGAGCAGGTTGACCTCCATGATGGTCTCAGGTGGGGGTTGTCGCCTCCGCACCACCAACCGCACCACAGGGCCCGCCTCCTTCAGCGCCTCCACAGCTCGGCTGTGCACCACCTCTGACACGTCCACCTCATTCACCCGCAGCACACAGTCATTCACCCTGTGGGGGAAGCCCAAGAGGCATGACACTGTGACACAAACTCTCCACCCCTTTCTCCCCTCCTTCCTCTCCCCCTCATTCCTTTCCCCCTCCTCCTCTCAGATTGAACCAAAGGGCCATCCTGCCAGGCAGTCCTCCTCCCCTCATCTCCATCCTCCCCCTGCATCCCCCATCCCTGCTTCCAGGCCACCTCACCCTAGCCTCCCGTCCATGGCAGCTGCTCCACCAGGAATGATCTTGGTAATGAAGATGCCAGGGTCATCAGGGACATGGGGATTGTCAATGCCACCTGCAATGCTGAAGCCCAGGCCGGAATTGCCCTGCAGAAAGGAGTGGAGGGGCAACAGTCTGCTCACTCAGAGGGCATGAGGAAGGGTTCCTGGTTCCCCAACCTCGCCTAATCCCCAGGCCAGGTGCTCCAGTCCTCAGAAGGGGCCAGGGCAGACCAGGGCACATTCGTCAGAAACCTGGTGGCTTCCCAGCCTGTGCTGATCATTTTGGCATAGAGGCCTCAGCAAAGCCACCCCCTCCCCAATTCCCCAGGCTTCAGCAAGCAAGGTCAATTAATATTTGTTAGTCGGTTCACTGATTGATGCAGTGATGTGGCCTCTGAGTGCCGCTGTTTCCCCATCCTCTCAATGCAGGTCCCCCTCTGAGTCTTAAGAGTGAGGTTCAAGGCCCTCCTCTCTCTTGGCTCAATCCCTCCTCTCCATTTTCATCCCATCCCACTGACAAACTCACCCGCTCCAGCACTATCTCCTCATACTTGAACATGCCATCGCTGCCATTTACCTAGGGGAAGACACAGGCAGTTCCCTAAATGCCTTCTGTACACCCCCCAGCCAGATGCCCCCTGGTCAACCTGCTCCTCCACATTCCCCACAGAGTAGAAGAGCCCAAATAGATCCCAGACACCTATTGGCCACAGATGGGGACAGGCTGACCCTGAGGAGTCCACCTCCTCCCCTTGCTTCCAGCCATATCATGCCAAACTCAGCTGTTCATTTAGCTCAGATCAATGGTCTGGGACTGAGCCAGCCAGTGGTGCACTCAAGGAGAGACTCAAGGGCTCCAGGGCCTTGTGGTTCACTAGGAGGGGTGCGGAGCTGGCCTGAGGGGGGTGGCAAAAATGGAACATGGTAGATAAACCAAGCCATGCCCAGCATCCATGGGGGTACCCAGGACCTGGACAGGGACCTGCTTGCCTGCTTAACCACAGCTCTCCATGGTGCAGATCACAGACTCCCACTGTGTCAGAGGTAGAAAGACAGCAGATACCATCTTGTCCAATCTCCCTCATATGATAAATGGTGGCACTGAGGCTCAGAGAGGACACAGATTGTGTTAAAGGCACACTGGAAGTTAGTGGCATAGCAGAGACTAGAATCTGGATTAAAGCAAGCTGCCAAGGCCACTGATGTGTTGGCCACTTATCCCTTTCCCCAGCAGAGCTCATGGGGAAAAAGGAAGTTGTCTCCTTCAGAGTACCTTATAAACCCTCATTCTCCATCTCCTAATGTGTCCCCAGGAACCCAAGTCTACATGGGTAGAAGGAGTGAAAGTCCTAATCCATTTTCAACCAAGAGGTGTTTAGTACGGAACCCTTTGTGTTTCCCAGCAGGAAGGCCCAGGGTAGGATCTGGCTGGGAGTCAGAGGCAAAGCCAGAGATGCTACAGGAGCAGAATGGACAATATTCCCCAGGAGGGAGAAGCTGATGACCATGGACCAATTGGCAGCAGAGTCCATGGCCTTCAACCTGCAATAGCCATGGGAGAAGACACAAGGGAAGGGGACAGAAACACAGGGTTAGTCTGACCAGCCCACAGAGGTGGCCTCCCAGACGGCACATACTAGTAGCCATTGTCAAGTAAAAATCTGATTCTGGACAGACAAGTAGCATCTGCTTTCTGGCTCCCACTCTCATCATCCCCCCAAATGGAGAAACCCTCTTGCCTCTCTCCCCAGGTAACCTGACAGTCCTTCCCCATCTTTCTCTGGCTCTTGCCTTACCCCTAATCTCCTCCTCTGAAAAGGGGACCTGGGAACCCAGGGTGGGGGCTCCTCCATATGCCTGTTCTGCTTCTCTCTCCCACCTTCACCCCACACACCTTTGGCTTTGAGAAGCAGAGAGGATGAGATGAGGAGAGGACTGGCTAGTCATGCCTCTACCTTTTCTGGACCTGACTCCAAGACTTTATGCCCTGCAGCTCTAGGAGTTGGTGGGAGGACTCCAGCTGCAGCCCCACTCTGGTCCCTGATCCCAGGAGGAACTGATGGTTCTTCAGAGTCCCCAAACCAACACAGCTGCCTGAAGTACCATGCAACAGAAACGCAGCGGAAAGAACTCCTGCACATGCAGCTCTTGCATGTACCTGGGGTACCATGTGTGCCCACATGTTATAAGCCATGCTTCCAGCCCAGCTCCAGTGAGATCCAGAGGCTCCTGCTCCCAACTGGTCCACCCTCCCACTGCCCCCCCTCAGGGACTCTGCTCCCAGGGCCAAAAGGCATCCAGAGATCAGCCCCAGCAAAGAAACATTGCCAACTGTCACCCATCTCCCAGCTGAGCAGGACAAGCGTAAGAGAGTGTTTGCAAGGATAGAGCCCCTGGATAGAGAGGAAAAGGAGAGAGCTAGACTCGCTGAAGAAGGCAAGGGGCCAAGGAAAGAGACACAAGAAATAGTAAGTGTAGGCAGACAGAAGGGCAGAACCAAGGAAGGACTCCTCTCCCCAGGAAGTCCCCATCATTGCTTCTGAGTGAGATCACATCCTATCCCCAGAGAAGGACAGAGGTGGCCAGAATGGTCACTACCTGCTCTCGACAGCAAAACCTCCTCCTCTCTCTCTACCCTGGGGACTGCAGAGCCAAATAACCAGGCAGGCCCTCCGCCATGTGTGCCAGGGACCTGGCTCTGCCGGCCCAGCCTCCATTTTGCTGCTTCTCCCACAGATGCTCCTTCCATTTTCTAAGCTGGCAGTTTAGGCTGGGAGTGGAAGACAGAGTTGTGCCTTGCACCCAGGGGTTCCCAAGCTGTAAGCCATACCTGGGGGGGCCAAGTTCTCCCATGTCTGGGGGTACCTAATGGGGCATGCCCCACTGGGGGCAGTTCTTACACCAGAGCAGATGTCCTGTGCCCGGCTCCAGGCATCATGCCTGTTCTGGAGCGAGGAAGCTTGTTTCAGTCCCCCCTCCAGCACACACACACTTCAGAGCTGCTTGGACAAAAGAGTCTGTCCTTCTCGGCATCCTCTCAGCCTTGCTTGGGACATGTCTCTCTCTTCCTCTCCTTCCCCTCCTTTGCCTGTCAAGCACCTCTTCAAAGGGACACACACCACACACACACACACACACACACACACACACCACACACACACAGAGGCACATATGTGCACACACTTGCAGCCACATGCTCACACACATATACATGTAGCGACACACACGGGGAAACACAGCCATCCCTGAAGCCTCATATACAGAAACACCTCCGCGGTCAGACATTCTCATACGTCCATGTGCACATTCACACACAAAGGGACTGGGACAGAGAGGGCTCATGGCATGGAGGGATGAAGCTCAGCGAGCTGGGCACATGGGCTCTACATAGATTCACAGGAGCTTCATTGCCTTTCTTCACACACCTCAACATACACACACACACATCACACATGTCACATGTCCCCCCTACGCAGAGCACCATGCCCCCTCCTCCCCTCCCGCGGAGACACACCACACACAGCTCCCGCAGAACCTCCCGCCCCTGCCAGACACAGAGGCACTGCTGAGCCCCCGCACTGAGACAAACCCAATTCCCCACACAGGAAAATGTGCTCCTCCGCCATACCTTCACCCCCCGACACACACAGCTCCTCACAACCCCCTCCAAACGGAGACCCCCAAACAGACACACACTGTGAAGCATACATTTCCTACCATCTCTCCTGGCCCAGCTGCAATGCTAGGGCTTAGGGTCCACTGGTTTGGAGCCCCACGAACCTGTGCTGCACCCCAGGCCTCTAGGCCCTCACTCCCCAGCCGCTCCCCCCCCCCAGTTGCCCCACCGCCGTCCCCCCCTCCCCCCTACTGGTTCATACCTGCTCATACCAGTCCCGGTTGGTACAGGTGCACTCAGGCCACCAACTGGGGCCGCTGCCATTGAGTTTGGGAGTGCTCTTGCCTGGGACTGGCTTAGGGGTTACTGGCCCCACATCCCGGCCGGTGGGGATGAGCTTGGCCTTGGTGCGTGGGGTGGGGGTGGCCCCCGCCTGCGAAGGCAGGGTCTGCGAGCTGTAGCCCCCATATGCCGTACTGGCTCCATTTCCCCCACCTGGCCCATAGGGGTCTGGCACCTGCCAGTCCCCGTAGCCCGGAGGCTCGAGGCGCCGCAGGGCGGCCAGGCGGGTCACCTCGTAGCACTCGGGGCACTTACAGCAGTGCTGGTGCTTGTGCATGGCACTGCCCCCCGCGGCCCGAACCCCCCAGCCAACGCCGGTTTCCACGCTGCCGCCGCCGCTGCCGCCGCTGCCACCGCCGCCGCCGCCGCCGCCACCGCCGCCTCCACCGCCGCCGCCAGGTTCCCGGGCACACTCACACTGCTCCGACCAGGAAGGGGGGGGCACCCGTGGGGGCGCCCGAGCGGAGCGGGGCCTGGGGCCGGGCGGGCGTCCCGGGGCCTCTGCCCCCACGCTGCCCCGCACCCACGGCTCCCCCTCCAGCACTGGTGGCTCCGTGTCGCCCGTAGTGGCTCCTGGGCCTAGGCCCAGCAGCAAAGAAGAAGCAGGAGCCTGGGCAGAGGCTGGGTGCTGCGAGGACCGCTCCTGCACTGGTCCCCAGGATGGATCTGAGTGGAGTCAAGAGCATCTCTCCCTGGCTCCTTTCTCAGTTGATTCCAGCCAATCAGCGTGCAGAGTCAGGCAGCAGCAGCGGCAGGAATGCTAAACAGCAGCTCCTTAAAGAAACAGAGGCAGTGGCGCCCCCAGGTTCAGCTCCAGCTCCCCAGATAACTGGGGTACCGACAACCCTACGGCTGAGGCAGAGGACTTAAGCCATAGGTGAGCTCAGCCCCCAATCTCATGCCCCCATGTTCCAAATTTCAGCCCATTCGCCCACTCCACCCCACCCCACTTCCAAGAGGGAGTTGCAGAAAGATGCTCAGTGGGTCCCTCGGCTTACTCAGAGCTGAGGCCACCAGGAATAAAGACTTGAGGTAGAAGAATGGACTGAAGGGATGCTGGGGAAGTGCTCGCTCCTAACAGGGGATCAGGGCAGAGGGCAGTTTATGAGGCCTCTCTCCTGTGAGTGCCTCCTCTCCAGTACTATTGTTCTCTCAATCTCTAGGCCCTGAAATGCCAGTAACCTCCCACTTAACCTGCTTCCATTACCAGTGAGGCACTTAAGCCTAGAACAGGAGGAAAAGAAAGCTCTAACTTATTGTCCCTGGCCCACAGACTCCTCCTGTATCCTCCACCCAACTTCCTCATGGTTATGATGGGGGAAAGAGCTTCAGGGTGCAAGAGAAAAGAGAATACAGGGCAGGAGGAAAAGCAAAAAGAGATATGAAGTAAGAGAAACCATTTCAGGGGTCTGAAGAACTTGGTAATCTCCTTAGCCTCTCCTGGCTCAGCCTGCTGGAGGGTGGAAGTAGGATGACATGTCCAGACTATCTTTTTGCTGTTCTTGTTTTGTCATTAGCTACCAAGTATTGAGTCTTTACAAAATCCTAAGTGCTTTTCACCTGCAGACAAAAACCCTACCAAAGTTATTATTATCTTAATTTCATCAATGAGAAATTGAGACTCAGAGGTGTTAATTCGGGTAGGTACCACAGTTGGAAGTGACAGAATCAGAATGCAAAGCCTGGCCATTTGCCTCAAGAGTCTATGCTCCAAACCACTCCAGTACAACAGGTCCATTCTAAGGTTCTTCTGCAGAACTTAGATCTCAGTTCAACAGATAATCATTGCACACTAACTCTGTGCAAGACACTGACCTAGGTCCTAGGGATACAGAAAGTCATTCTTAATTCAGCAAATATTCATCAAGCACCTCCCATGTACTAGACACTATTCTGGGATTTGAGGATACAGCAAAAAATAGAACAAAACACAACAAATGCTAGTCCTTGGGAAGCTTACATTCTAGTGAGAGGACACAGACAAATATTAGCAAAATAAATAAATGAATTATATAATCTATATAATGATAAGTGCTGTGAAAAAATGTAGAGAAAGTGGGATTGGAAGTGCTAGTTGTGATAATTTTTGTTCGAGTTTTTTACCCTCATGTTTTTAAAAAATATGTTTTATTAATTTCAGAGAGAGAAAGGGAGAGCGAGATAGAAATATTGATGGGAGAAACATCAATCTGCTGCCTTCTACACAATCCCCACTGGAGATTGAGTACAAAACCCCAGCATGTGACCAAATCTGGAATCGAACTGGCGACCTCCTGGTGCACAGGACGATGCTCTACAGACTGAGCCACACGGGCTAGGCTACCCCCCACATTTTTAATATGAAAAGTTTTAAACATACAGAAAAACTGAAAGAATTTTACAGGGAGCAAACACCAAATTGCCGTCTAGATTCTTATTAGCATTTTACTACACTTGCTTTTATCACGTATCTATCCTCCACATAGCCTCTCCAACTTGTTTAAAATGAAAATTTGCAAACATACAGAAATGTTGAAAAATGAAAAGATAACTCACTGAATGGGGTTAATATCCAAGATTTATAAATAATTTATAAAACTCAACACCAAAAAAAAAAATCCAATTTAAAAAATGGGCAAAAGACTTGAACAGCTATTTCTCCAAAGAAGACATTACAGATGGCCAATAGACATATGAAAACATGCTCAATGTCACTAAATGTCAGAGAAATGTACATTAAAACCACAATGAGGCATCACCTCACACCTGTCAGAATGACTATCATAAATAAATCAACAGCCCAGAAATCAACCCAAACCAATATGCTCAATTAATATTTGACAAAGGAGGCAAGAACATACAATGGAGTCAAGACAGTCTCTTCAATAAATGGTGTTGGGAAAATTGGACAGATACATGCAAAAAAATGAAACTAGACCACCAACTTACACCATACACAAAAATAAACTCAAAATGGATAAAGGACTTAAATGTAAGACGGGAAACCATAAAAGTACTAGAGGAATCCAAAGGCAACAAAATCTCAGACATATGCCAAAGCAATTTCTTCACTGATACAGCTCCTAGGGTATTGAAAACTAAAGAGAAAATAAACAAATGGGACTACATCAAAATAAAAAGCTTCTTCACAGCAAAAGAAACCATCAACAAAACAACAAGAAAGCCCACTGCATGGGAGAACGTATTTGCCAATGTTATCACGGATAAGGGTTTAATCTCCAACATTTATAGGGAACTCATACAACTTAACAAAAGGAAGATAATCCAATCAAAAATGGGCAAAGGACCTAAATAGACACTTTTCAAAAGAGGACATTCAGAAAGCCAGGAGACATATGAAAACATGCTCAAAGTCACTAATCATCCGAGAGATGCAAATCAAAACAACAATGAGGTACCATCTCACACCTGTCAGACTGGCTATCATCAACAAATCAACAAACGACAAGTGCTGGAGAGGATGTGGAGAGAAAGGAACACTCGTGCACTGCTCTTGGGAATGCAGACTGGTGCAGCCACTATGGAAGATAGTATGGAGTTTCCTCAAAAAGTTAAAAATGGAACTCCCATTTGACCCAGTGATCCCACTTCTAGGAATATATCCCAAGAAATCAGAAACACCAATCAGAAAGGATATATGCATCCCTATGTTCATAGCAGCACAATTCACCATAGCTAAGATCTGGAAACAGCCTAAGTGCCCATCAGCAGATGAATGGATTAGAAAACTGTGATACATCTACACGATGGAATACTATGCTGCTGCAAAAAGAAGGAATTCTTACCATTTGCGACAGCATGGATGGAACTGGAGAGCATTATGCTAAGTGAAATAAGCCAGTCAATGAAAGAAAAATACCACATGATCTCACTCATTTATGGATAATTAAGACCATTATAAACTGATGAGCAAAAATAGATACAGAGGCAGAGCAACATCGAACAGACTGTCAAACTACAGCGGGAAGGCTGGGGAGGGTTGGGGGGGGTGGGGGGGTAAGAGATCAACTGAAGGACTTGTATGCATGCATACGAGCATAACTAATGGACACAAGACACTGGGGGGCATGGGAGGCTAGGGGAGGGTCAAGGGGAGAAAAAAAAGAGACATATATAATACTCTTTGTAATACTTTAAGCAATAAAACAATTAAAAAAATAAAAAGCCAACTGATTGGACTGGAAAAAATTAAAATATAAAAAATAAAGTACATTACAAGATTTCACAATAAAAATAAATAAATAAATAAATAAATAAATAAATAAATAAACCAACAAACATGTGTTGGTGAGGTTGTGGAGAAGAAGAAACCTTAATCAGTGCAGTCTGTGGGAAGGCAGTGCACTGTTTGTGGGAAGGCAGAATGGTGCAGCCACTGTGGGAAACAGTATGACGTTTCCTCAAAAAATTAAAAATGGAACTGAATTATGACCCAGCAATTCCACTTCTAGGAATATATCTGAAGAAACCTGAAACACTAATTTGAAAGAATATATTCACCTCTATGTTCATTGCAACATTATTTACAATAGCCAAGGTCTGTAAACAGCCCAAGTGCCCATCACAATAAATGAGTGGATAAAAAATGCTGTGGGATATTTACACAATGGAATTATATGCGGCCATAAAAAAGAAGGAAATCTTACCCTTTGTGACAGCATAGATGGACCTGGAGACTATTATGCTAAGCAAAATAAGCCAGTCAGAGTAAGACAAATATCACACAACCTCACTTATACGTGGAATGTAATGAACAAAATAAACTGAAAAACAAAATAGATCCAGAGACATGGAAGCATGCATCAAACTGACGATTCTCAGAGGGAAGGGCTTGGGGGGGGGGGGTCAAGAGGAGATTAGCCAAAGAACTTATATGCATATATGCATAACCCAAGGACACAGACAATAGTGCAGTGAAGGCCTGGGGAGGGGGCAGAAGGGGAAGAAGGGGGTTAATGGGGGGGAAAGGAGGGTATCTGTAATATTTTCCACAATAAATACAAATTTTAAAAATAAATACATTAACAAAGTGGAGGTAGGTTCATGGATACAGAGAAAGACTGGCAGCTGTCAGAGGGGAGGGTTTGGGGGCTGGGTAAGAAGGGTGAACGGATTAAGCAAAGAAAAAAGAAAGACTCGTGGATATAGACAACAGTATGGTAATTGCCAGAGTAGGGGAAGAGGTAGAAGGTAAAGGGGGGATAAATAGTGATGGAAGGAGACTTGACTTGGGGTGGAAAACACACAATACAATACACAGATGATGTATTGTAGAATTGTATACCTGAAAACTGTATACTTTTATTAACCAACGTCACCCCAATAAATTCAATAAAAAAGAAATGTTGAAAT